TGAAAATTAAGCGCGCATTCTTAATAAACATTCATAAATAAGCTATCAATCAAACGGTTAAACAAATTGAATCCACAACTTATGAAATTCCAACGAAAGTTAATCAATTCATATTGCAAATATAAACATAGTTTCGAATCACCCCCTACCTAAAGGGGGTTTAGTTCCTCATAACCTTGAAATCAAAGAAACACCTAAACATTCCAACAACTCAAAGCTTGAATTGTATGAACGTTTAAGCACTCTTCTCTTCCATACATACAAAACAAAGAGAATTAAAATGAAACTTTGAAATCAAAGAAACACCTAAACATTCCAACAACTCAAAACTTGAATTGTATGAACGTTTAGGCACTCTTCTCTTCCTCGTTGTTGTAGCACAAGGTTTAAGGGATGTTGTTGGTGTGTTGAATGGATTGGGGAATTTATGGAAATGGAAGAAATGGAGGAGAAATGGAAGGGAAACTCACGGCCAAAGGGGGAAGAATGGATGATTTTGAAGAGTGTTGTGTTGTGAATGAGATGAAGAATGCCTTGAATGATGAGAGTGCAAGGGTATTTATAGGAGTAGTGGAGGGAACATATAGGGAGAGAATGGATGGGAGAGCATGTGAATGATAGCTAAGAGAATGATTAAAGGGGTGTGAATGGTTGGAAATGCATGTGGGTGAATTGGTGGTGCAATGATGAAAAGTGAATAAATAATGCATGTAGGGTTAGCTAGGTTGGCTTTGTTTGGGTGCATGTGAGTTAAAGAGGGAGAATGTGGTGAAATGATGAAGTAGGAAGGTGAAAATGCATGTGAGATGTTGGAAAGGAAATGGGAATATGAGTGCATGTGGGTGAATGATTTGTGGTGCAATGATGAAGAGTGAATAAAGAGTGCATGTAGGGTTAGCTAGGAAAGTGGGAATATGGTTGAATGATTAAAGGGACATGCATGTGGCTTGTTTGATTGCTTGGTGAGATGATGCATGCTTGTAGTTTAGGGTGTTGAATATGGATTTGCATGGCATTTGAATTGATTGTGGGCTTTGGAATTGGAAGGAAATGCATGGCAAAGGGCTTGGTTTAAGAGAGAATGGGCTAGGCCCTTTGTTTTATGTCCAAAGTGAATACAAGGCCTTCAAATTCGTCCAACATTTTGGCTCCAATCATATGCCATCCATTCCAAGCCCAATTTTGCTCCAAAATGCTCCAAAATGCATCTTTTTTCTTCCTTAAGCCCTTAGAACCTGAAAACACACAAAAGAAGCATAAATGACTAAAATAACTAGAGAAACATAACGTAAATGCACGAGAACAAGCCATTTAAGTCGCATGAATATGCTCCTATCATATTTCCATTGACGAATCCAAGTTTGGATCTTACTCCAAGGGCAAGAGATATTGATCTGGACCATGGAAGATAGTTAAACTCATTTAACAACACAGAACACAAACGTTGGTTTGGGTTGACTTCAGCTTCTGGAAAACTAGGGCGAAGAGCTGTGAAGCTTTCAGCTTCTGAGCCAAAAAGATTATCTTCTGCCATTATCGAAACGAATGTGCAAAAGAAGAGAAGGGACAACAATGCAGTCAGGCCGGTTAAGGTTCCGGCTCTGATACCGTGTGGAAAATATGGAAGAGAATGCTTTTTCTCATTATGTTTCTCTACAATATTACAAGGATATATATACATGATACAAGTGTGTAGGTAGGACAAGGTAGGACGGCTGTAGGACGGCTAGTATGTAGGTAGGACAAGGTAGGACGGTTGTAAGACGGCTAGTGTGTAGGTAGGACAAGGTAGGACGGTTGTAGGACGGCTTGACGGCTAGTGTGTAGGTAGGACAAGGTAGGACGGCTGTAGGACGGCTTAGGTAGGACGGCTTAGGTAGGACGACTGTAGGACGGCTTGACGGCTGTAGGACGACTTGACGGCTGTAGGACGGCTTATTCTTCCAATACTATGTGTATATATGTATATGTATAACTACACTTTTGGATTTGGAGGAGGAAGCAACCATTTGGAACCCTGAATATATCCAAGGCTAATGAAAGGCTTGACTTGTTCGTCTGTCAGTTCTTTGCTCAAATTTCTCTTATTATATGTACTTGAACCTGGACCCATGCACTTGTACTCTCCGTAGGACACAGTGCTGCAATTTCAAATTATATTATTAACTCTCGAAACTAATTATATGAAAATGCTTAATCCTGTACTAATTAACATAATTTGCTTACTTGTCACGTTCGGGGTGGTTATCATTGCTCCAACCGGCAGGGTTAACCACCTCAGTCATGCTGGTGTAAGCATACACCACCTGAGGTCTGACTCACCAAGCCCTGCCCAAATATGTGCCACTGCCTATCCCAGTTACGTTGCAATGAACAAATGAGTATCCAGTGTCCTCCGAAGCTGAGTCCCTTGCTTGTGCTGTTATCACTGTTATTCCAGTATCTCCCAGCACATGCAACTCAGTGTTCTGCACCCATCAATTATATGTTATATTATTAGTCACCAACCATCAAGAGTTCAAAACCAATATGACTTGTATAGACAAACAAAAAGATTAACTATATATATCTTCTTGTTAATCCACCCAAATTATGTTTTGAGAGGGGGAAGGGGAACAATCATGGAATGATCCACTGTTTATATGGTGAGATTCACACAACCCACTTCACTAATGTCGTTCTTATATATGACCTAAATTCATACATAATTTCTTTTACGAAGAAAAAGATAATTGTATGAGTCAACCATATTTAGCTTTTTGTTTCTCACAACATGTACGTAAAATACACCGTTATGGTGAGATCGACTCGTCCATATAAGGTTAAAATCACCGGCTTTATTTGGGAATTATAATGTTAGATAGGGATGCCTTACCAAATAGAGAGACTTTCCACTTCCCCAAATGAAATCCACAGTGCCTTCAATGTAGCAGTCCTTGAACAAATGATTGCCCCTGTCATCACAAAGGGTGTCTTGAAATCCAACCAGCTTGCAATTGTACAAGGCTGAATTGTTGCCCGACACCCTCAATGCCACTGCCTGCACTCCCACTCTTTTCCCATCTGGCCTTGGCGAAGAGTTCTACACAAACCAATCCACCAAGAGAACGTTAATGAAAAATAATTGTATGATGGTAATATCACGTGATATGACATAGTTAGTACTTACTTTAATAAGAAGGTTAGTGGCAATAAAGTAGTTAGATTCTGCAATCACTGTAGCACTGTTTACAGTTCCATACTTTTGGGCCGTACCATCAAATGTCAAATTTGGCATGTTTGTTGGAGAACCATATAAGGTGACAAATGGTTTATTTCGTGGAATCGTAATTTTTTCGTTGTACTCTCCTCCGCCAATGTGCACAATGACACGTTTGGTGTTCCCGGCCGGAATGCTATTAATGGCGTCAGTAACGGTCTTAAAGTCTCCTTTTCCATCTTGCATGACCTTGATGACTGTTTGACCAGCCTCGGCCGTGGCAACGGCAGGGTCAAGCGTGCTCTGCCGTTCTGTGTATGGCTTCACATTGTTATTGAACCATGTGTTGATTTGGGAATGGTCGGATGGTATCGGTGTATTGTCGTCCGCTGTGGCAACGGCGGCGGTGAGGAGAATTGTCATAATTAGAGCTGCATGGACGCCCATGCATGTGTTTTTTCCGGCCATTTTATTTTTTGGGGTGCTATTGATTAAAATGGTGAGTAGAAGGTTTTGATTTTATAGTCCACAAAGCATTAGGTGCTTTAAGGTAAAGTGCATGATTAGAGGGGTTATTAATCCAAAATATGTGAGACTTGGAGAACTTTCCGGATAGTTTGGATGTCGTTTATGTTTGGGATTTCATATCCACCTTTTGTGTTAACTAAACCAAAAAAAAAAAAAAAAAACCACTATCTATGGAAGATACAGCTTAATTTGAGAAAGAACATGGATAATTATGGTTTTATGATTGATATATTTATCGCAACATTCTTAAAACTCGAACGCCATCTAATATCTCTTTTAAAATTCTTTTTTCTCACACTTAATTCTCTAGAAGTATACTTCATCTCTCACTATTTCTCATTCCGTCAAAGGAATGTTAGAATAGTTTGCGATGCTATATATGTCGTTTATATTATAGAAGATTAAAATTATTTAGTTAAGATAACTACTATTGTCACTCCAAAAATCTAATCATGCACTCTTTATAAGAGTAATTTTCTTTCTAAATAAAAAAAGTTTAGAGTGCACAATTAAATCTTTAGTCCTAGTGGTGGTGTGCTGAAACGGAGGGATGGAGGAAAGTGGTGGGTCTTTAATTAAGAAAGCCCCATCGACATTAATAATTTTTGGAAAACCAGTGGGAGGTTTTGGACTCCTGCCACCGGCTGATAGAGCGGGAAACAACCAAGTTAGGGCCTTCATACTTACCATTCCACAGAAGCTCATTCCTTGCCCTCCAAATAAACCATAGGAGCATAAGGAAGCACTCGAAATCACAATTGGACGAGCTACTTAAGGTGAAGGAGACCCAATCCATACGGACACGTCAATCTGGTGCCTATCCCGTATCCAATGCAGTATTGGTTACGCGTATCAAATTAACACAATAATTATTAGATTAAACAGAAAAAGATGTTTTAAAAAAAAATTATTTTGAAAAAAAACTCTCTATCCATACAAAAACTGGAGAGTTCAAGAGAGCAATATTTGTGATTCATATATTAGGCGTATTGTTGGGATATATTAACGGTTGTATATTTTAAAATCCAAAACGATATTATTGTGAAGACAAATACAAAACACATGAGTCGCCTAAAATTTATCAAACACAAGGTATATAATCCTACTTAAATTATGTTTTTTATTTTAACAAACGATATTATATACACTAAAAAAGAGGGATGAACTTTGCCTCACAACAGACTAACAATACCGTGGTTCGGCGAGAATCGAACCTAAGATCTTTCACTTACAAGTAAAGAGGAAAATCACTAGACCGTAGTGTTAAGTAGCTTAAACTAGGTTTTATTAGAAGTCAATCAAAACTAGCTAGCCCAATGTCACATTGAAATCTTTCCAGGAACCCTCACAGTTCACATGGTTAGTCCATTTCAAACTCGATGTCTGGTTCGAATTCGATAAGATCTCGAACTTCTTCCAATCATGAATCACCGCCGTCAGATCAGCCACCTTGGCGCTTATGGTTCGGCAGCAATTGGCATGAATCGTCGTGACAGCTTTGAAGTCCTTGCTGACTTCACAGAAGCCACTGAAATAAATTGTGTCTAAAAATTTCACACTGAGGCCTAATTCTCTGAAAACACCTTCATGCATCAGGCTGTCTAAAACATCCTGCTCTTTCACTCCGGTGGAGTTATTCTTCCTGTCGTACCACTTTTCAAATAACGAAATTGTTCGGTTGTTGGATCTGACCATGTAAAAGCCTGTGTTGAGGGGGTTGGATTCAGACCATTGATCCCCATTGAACTTATCAGCACTGATTTGAAGATCCATGCTCTCATTGAAGCTATTTAGCCTTGGAAATGGATTCCTTAGCCACATCACATCTATGTCCTGGAATTGGAAATTGGATATATATATATATATATATATATATATATATATATTTAAGCTAATTATAAGTCCAAACACAAAAATAAGGTATCATTTAAATTAAAACATAATACTAATTGAATTTTTACAAGGATATGACATGTTATGATGTCAGAAAATTCTCTATATGATGATGATCAAATTAATTATGTTGAGAAAGCTTACCGTGAATACGAAACTGTAGCCCCGCTTGAGCAAATCTTTGAGGAAGAGAGTTCTCCTCCACATCATCTTAATAAATTCCTGTGACATGTAGAGTTTCTCAGCCTCAAAATTGGCGTGATCATCTGCTTCGAGTTTGTAGCAGTGAAGGTGGAGAAACCTACAACGTTCGAAAGATGTTTGGTCGACCGCAACAAGAAGTAGGTGAGAAATCAAGCCTCTTGTGTCTTCTCCAAGCCAGAAACTGATAGGAGCATATTTATGCGCCTTAGTTTGTTTGTTTTCTTGCATTTACGTTGCTAGTACTTAGTAATTTTAGTACTTTAAGCTATTTTCGTGTGTTTTCAGGTTCTAAGGGCTAAAGGAGCAAAGAAGTGCATTTTGGAGCCTTTTGGAGCACTTTTGGGCTAAGAATGGATAGCTTATGCTTGGAGCCAAAGTGTTGGACGAAATTGAAGGCCTTGTATGCACTTTAGGACATAAAACAAAGGGCCTAGCCCAATCAAACAATCCATCAAAGCCATGCAAAACCACCATTCACACACACTTCACACAAACAACATCCTAGCCGCACTCCCCCTTGCATTTCCAGCCATTCCACTTCATCATTGCAGCCACACTCTTCCATATTCCCTCTTTAAATCCACATGCATTCATCATCATTCACCCTAGCTTTAATTCACATGCAAACACATTCAATTTCAGCATCCACAAGCCCTTGCCGTGCACTCCCATCCCATTTCCAGCTTTCTCCCTTGCAATTCCAGCTTTCCATTTCATTATTGCAGCCACCATTCACTCTTTAATCCACATGCATTCATCATCATTCACCCTAGTTGTTTTTCACATGCATTCCCTTCATTAATTCAGCCAACACATGCACCCATCACCTTAGAATACCTTTGCCGTGCACTTCCATCCCATTTCCAGCTTTCCCCTTTGCATTTCCAGCTTCACTCTTCATGATGGCAGCCACATTCTCTCCTAGCTGTCATATTCCCTCTTTTAATCATTCATCCACCTATAAATAAGCATCCATTGCAGCCACAAAACATTCATTCAATTGTCATTCATTCCACACCTCCATTCACAACACAAACACACACCATCTTCCCCTTAGAACACCCCCTAGCCGTGCCTTCCCTTCCATTTCTGCACCATATCTCCTCCATTGCAGCCACTCCAACCACTCCCCATCCCTCCAAACCTATCCTTAGACCTTGTGCCACAACAAAGAGGAGGAGAAGAGTGCCTAAACGTTCATACAATTCAAGTTTGAGTTGTTGGAATTTTTAGGTGTTGCTTTTCCTCGATTTCAATGTTTAATTTCAATTCTCTTTGTCTTGTACGTATGAGGAACTAAACCCCCCCTTGGCTAGGGGGGATTCGAAATACATGTTTATGCTTGCAATATGATTTGATTACTTCTAATTACGTTTCATAAGTTGTGAATTCAATTTACTTATCTATGTGAATTACATTGATCTGTGTGTGTTGGTTGAGAATGCACGCTTAATTATCATGCATAAATTGGATGCTAGGATATAAGGAAATTTCACCTAATCGTTATGGAATTATATTCACAAGTAGTAAAGGTTGATGATCTCAATCGCGTTAAGTAAATTCTTGGCATAAGTTTCATGCAATCATAGTAACAAGTGCTTCGTTAATGCTTATGATTTTCATAGAACGTAATGATTCTTGCTTGTATCTCTATTATGCAATCATGTAGGGGACTTGTGGGGAATGTTTTGGGTTGTCGTATGCAATCATCCAATTCAATAACGTTAGGAAAATCTGAGGGTTAATTAGTGCAATTCACGGTTAATCTGGGGCGTTGAGAATTCATGGTTTATTGAAAAGCAATTAGAAATCGTTTTGTGTGCAAATATAACATGTGTGGAGATGAACCCCTTAGCTAGCTTCCCATCCATTAAATTCCATCAAATTCGTATTTACAATTTGTTTTCTTTACAATCTGTCCATTTTAGTTTAATTTCGTCAAAACCTCAATCACCCCATATTTTGTTTAGTCTTAGTCATTACAATCTATCTTATTTTGAGTTTTGCATTCTTTGAGTCTAGTACAGTGTTTTAAACTTGTTTTTTTACGTTTTTGAGTCAAATCCAAGTGATTAACAATCCCTCCTAATCCCCGGTCCAGAACGATCCCTACTTACATACTTACTAAAATTGATAAAAAGAGGGTTTAATTTGTGTGCGTATAATTCTCGCATCAGAAACCATCTAAAAACAAATCAAGCATTGGCTTGTCTCCTTCTACATAGGCCTTATTTACAATTGCAATTATCACAGTCTTGTTTGCCATGGAAACCTCGGATAAAGCTGATTCAAGCGCATCTGTATAATTTCTTGTGTTGCTCTTCAAATTTAATATGAACAGATTAATCACCACAAAATTATAGATTAAGCAAAATAAAAACAACAAAACAAAAGTAGAAAAAGATGGTTGATATTACCTGGGTAGAGGGATTACAGTATTGGCTAGACTGGAAGACAAACAGTGGTATCGATCCACATGAGGTCTGGTTGAATATAAAAACCAGTACCAAACCAGCAAAGAGAAGGCATAATATTGTAGCATGTCTACTTTCCATGTCTCAGAACCATTGACTAGCTAATTAAGGTGTGATTAGGGGCTTCTTGTATTATATGATGGCTTAATTTCTAAACATTATCACGGAATATTGCAGTCTTTCATCCTTAAAACTGAAGAATTTCACGAAACCACCGAGTCACGCATTTTGCGACTCACAGTAATTAGGAATGATATAATAGGGGGATACACTGTTTGTTTTAAATTCTGAATACGATAAACTCTAAATTTGAAAACGGTTTAGCTATTACATGAATATATATATCAACACAAAAAAGATAAAAAGAAGGGCATTACCTATCATTTTTGTATTTCTTTTCTCTCTTCTTGTGCGCAATTGAAATGTGCTCGATGAAGTACTTTAGTTGACAAGCCTTAACAGTATTCTACATTACTCCACAGTATCCTATATCCACCTTCGAAAAGCCTCTACAAATAATACTAAGGGGTTTTTGAACTTTAATCCTTCAAGAAGATTAAAATTTAATAAAAATTTGGTGTTAGATTGGATATTCATTTTAGTCCCTTAATGTGTACTTAATTCAAATTTATATTATAATTTTGTTTTGATATTTAATACATATCCTATTTAATGTCATTACATTAAATTTTAACTTTATTATTATACACATTTTAATTCATTAATTTTGTTTAACTTCCTCTAATTAGTGTTTCTAAACGTTCGTATCATAATATATTTTCGAAAGATTAACTGTAAACACATCAGAAAGAATGCAACCTGGAGTTATGGAATTAAATTAGAACCAAAATTGTTGAACAAAAATGAGCTAGAGATACTACTACATAAAGCGGCAGCAGCCACGGTTTCATGGCATGGGTCACCAAACCATGGCTTTTTTCACTCAGTAGCCATGGCTAGCTATAGTGGTGTTTGGAAGAAGTTTGTTCCTAATTGTTCATTCCGATTCACTCAATAAAAAGTATCGCCAAACACGTAGGTAGTGGCGTTCTAAGACTTAGTGGGATCAGACTTTGTTATTGTTATACATGGATTTCAAACATGGATGGAAAAAGACAAATGATACTAACGCCAAACATATATAGCTTAAACCAAATTTAGAAACTCTCTAACATGAACTACTCGATCCATTCAAATGATACTAACGCAATTTCATGAAAGCAAATGCCGCGACATGTTGATATGGTTGTATTTCTCTTCCACAATTAATGTTGGAAGTTCTCTGAGTCCAAATTTCCCTTCCCATGATCGAAAACAAAAATGCCATGACATGTAAACTTTCGTTAACCATTCGACGATGAACGTTTAATGTGGGATTATGCATGCATGCATGAACGTTAAATAATGTTTGTGGAACTGAAACTTACCCTGATCATAGAATGTATCAGTATCATCGGGATTGGCAGCAAGTGACGTAGAAGGAGCCAAAGATTTGTCTCTGAGTCGATTAGGCCGGGTTCAAAGCCGGTTCAGAACGTGATCTAATTACACCTCTCTGATCTTTAGGCATAGTAATTACTCAGTCTCTCCCTTGATCTGTCTGGACCTGGAAGCAATGTGCAGTTCCGGTTTCTGTATCAACGGCGATTTCAACGTACATTTGGATCTGGAAGTGGCAATCAAGGGGGAAAATAATTTTTATTTTTATTTTTTATTTGATGAAATACTCGATCTCTTTTTTCGGTTTTGGGGAAAATGAAAACGTTTAGAATAATAATAATAATAATACTATTTTAATTTCTAAATAACTTTGTTTTAAAATTATTTATGTAATACTGATAAACCCACTAAGGATAATATTGTTTGTCATTAAGCCAGTTAATTATAAATAAATGATTGTTGTATTTTTAAGTAACAATTTTTGTTTTGTATTCCCTTGAACTCATTAGCTCCTCCAATAAAGTATAGACTCAATGTCATTAGATCATACCAGATTTATCAAGTAATGATTTTATATATAAACGTGGAGATGAATATTGATATGAACTATCTCATTTTATGGTTGGTTATGCTATGTTCCTAGTTATATAATTTTGATTTTACTTGTCTATTCTTTATATTTCTTCCCAGTGTGGTAATAGTTTAGGACTCTAGGAGTTAGAAACATAGATTTTTTGTTTCTATTTTAATTTGGTTAGTTTATTATTTTACCTATGTTTGATAAATATTTTTTCTCAACTATTTATGAATTGGATTTTAAAACTTTGTAATGGCCTTTTAACTTTATATACTCAATTTTAAATGAGTGATGTCATCCATACACCCTTTTTCATTCCAGGTAATTTCTATCATCATTTTTTTTTTTAATTCATTTGATCCGATGCTCTAAATAAAAAGAATATATGAAAGGTAAAAAAAGTTTTGTAAATAGCACCAGACTTTTAATTAATTGAGTATCAAGAGGTCCAATCCACATCATGCCCATGTGAAGCAGTATGTGACACGTCAATTTTAATTTGGAGCCTATTACCCGTCAATTTTTTTCTACAGCATGTGACATTACTAATTTCCTTTTTCCACATTGCTGAATGCGCGACTAATAAATTCCTTTTTACACGTTGCTGACTTCTCGACTAAGAGAGGAACAAGAAGTCATCTCGCACATTTTCTCTTCCACATGAATACAGCAATTGAACAGATCATAGTCTTGCGTACGTTAATTGCCGGCGGAAAGATTTATGGAATATTGGTTAGTTAAAATGATTAGAAATTAAGTTTTGATTAAATATAAAATATTGCCGATACAGTGATTAAATATTCAAATATCAACAATATAACAATTAATTTCAACATTTGAGATTTAAAAATGATCATTACGGTGTCATAATATCAACCCAAAAAACTTTATCGGACCATTTCTTCGAACACCTAGTAAGCTCCTGCCAATTCCTGTCAACATAAGCTGAAAGCTTATGCCAACATATGTCAACAACTATTCGTATTATAGAAAACTAGATTTTAATCCCTAAATAAGATGAAATTTAGAAAAATGTCTTATACAAGATTAAAAATTGATTTTAGTCCTTAGACTCTATTAAATGCTTGCATATGTATTCAATGTCTCTCTTTTTTATTTATAATTTTATGGTGTTCATAAATTAAATTTTATGAAAATATTATAAATTTTAATTCTCATTATGCTGAGTATCTTATAAAAGAAAATATTTTCGTAGAGATTTTTCGGTACACTTATGTTTTTGCATATTTTCTTATGTGCCACTAATTCATTACAAAATATTTAGGTACGACCATTTCAATATACTGGGTTAGTATAATATGTTTAGGTATGGACATTTAGGTAACTAGTTTTATATCATACAGTTAGGTATGGAATTTTTTGTACACTTATATTTTTGCATATTTTCTTATGTGCCACTAATTTACTACAATATATTTAGGTACGGATATTTTGGTACACAAAATATTTTCGAATGTACGTTTTCCCCACAACAATTGTGCAGCGGAATCAGCTGGTACAAGTTGCAAAGATTCAGATGTTAGATGCTATGGTGATGAAGTGCATCTTGGATATCATGGTTCTACAATCAGAAAGGGAATGAATTCTTCTGTGAAGTCGACGATGATTACATCCTCGTTGATTTCAACCGTTCAGGTTTAAGAAACCACGTACCATTCTATGATTATGCACTGGATTTAATGTTGGACATTGAGTCTTCCAATGGTAAGAATCGGATAAGTCCATCAGCCAAAATTGCTTTGATGAAGATTTCAGCTTTCATTGCAATACGAAGTTATTAAATTCTTATGTAAATTCCAATGGGATCAACTGATGGCTTAACTGACGAGGAACAGAACAATCTGATCGAATCCGCGATGGAGATGCTCTACGGTTTAATTCATGCCAGATACATAGCAACTAACAAGGGATTGTCTGCAATGGTAAGGTGTTTACAATGTACATATTAATATTGCTTTATTTTCTTTCAAAATATTAGATCTCACACCCCGAAAATCCGGTCGTGTTTCGAACTGTGGCATTATATTTGAGGCTTCCTAATTTAACAGTGTGCAATTCAGTTGGAGAAGTACAGGAACTATGATTTTGGCAGATGTCCAAGAGTGAACTGCAGTAAACAACGTTGTCTGCCTGTTGGTGAGTCAGACATCCCAAGATTAAGCACTGTAAAAATCTATTGTCCCAAGTGTGAAGACATATATTCCCCACAATCCAGACACCAAGAAGGTATCCTTATGTATCACTTCGTAATTGACATGACGAGTGCCTTCTATACATCTATGAATGTCTCAGAATTATACATTGTGACACGCCCCGACCCCGATATTCCCTGAATATCAGGATAGGCACGTGCTGGCCGACACCCGAGGGTGACGAAAGCCATTTATTGAATGCAAATGCTGAAAACAAGGGGTATATAAGGCTTATAAATATAAAAGAATAATTAATATTTAAATAAGAACCGTGTTCAGAGCACACCTCTAATCTAGAACACTAAAAGAAAAATAATATAACATTGAATGAAACAAAGGAGTAGGTCCTACACCGAGAGGACTTGAAGATGCCGATGTGGAAGTGCTTGGATGTCGGGATTGTATGCCTCGATTCTAAGTCCTGAAGGGGGTGCAAAACAAACATGAGTGAACCAAGTTGATATATATATATATATATATATATATAATAAAACAGTTATCAACATACTAACCCCTAGGTTTTATGAAAACACATATATATAATGATAAACATAGGTTTTCCGAAACCTAGCATGTCGTGCACTGTCTCAAATCATATTTCGCATAAATAATAAACACTATGAATGTCCAATAACTCTTCAGGCCCCATGCCGGCTTCCCGTCTCTGAGCCGACAGTCAAAGGAAAATACACTTCAGGCCCCATGCTGGCTCCCCGTCTCTGAGCAGACAGTTAGAGGAAAGCACACTCCAGGCCCTATGCCAACACCAAACCGTCGCCCGGAATGGACCGGATCTATCCTTACGTCCCGTAGCGGAAATGACCACTAGGTAAGTACAAAACCAGTGAATATACATATATTGAAAATCAACTTCATAGTATAAAGTCATGCATCATCTATACTACAAAGAGGTATTCTAAACATGTTCTAAATATCATATCGTCATCCATCAGATATTCTATAAGAACATGGGTTATAGGAAAAATAGTAATAATTCAAACTAGCCTCAGTAAGCATGTTATCTCGTAAAACGTTTCATAAAACATAACCATCAAATCATGCTTTTCATGTATGCATTTATACTATCAAAACATGCATTTTTAGAAGGGATCCACTCACAATACTTCGACGTCGAAAGACAACGCCACTAGCGAAGACGGAAACGCCACAAATAATTGCCCCTAAGCACATAAATGGTACATTTAGTCAAAATCTACTCAAACGATTGAATTTGGGAAAATGGACATCGAAAACAGGTTCAGAACGTCGAAATTAGCCTAGGAGGGGTCCCGCATGAAAACCCAAAAAGTCAACGTTGACCGTTGAACGGTCAAAGTCAAAGCTGACCGTTGACCGGGTCCGGGTCAGCAGGTCAAACGGGTCCTCCGGGTTGGGTTGAAGGGTTTGGGTCTAATGGGTTTAGGGTTAACAGGTCGAAGGCCCTAAAAGAAACGGCCCAAAGGCCTTTAAATTAACAAAACCAAAATAAAAATAATAAAAAGGTTGGGTTGGGCTGCTCAGGGTTTTGGGCTTGGCAGGAACGGCCCGAAAGCCTGGGTGGTTTCTTGGGCTGGGTTTCACGCCGGAGAAGAAGGCCGGAATTCGGCCGGAATTTAGACAAACTTTGAACGTCTATAACTTTGTTAATACTCGACGAAATCAAGTGATTCAAAAATGAAAATCGTAGCTCTCGAAGAGACGAAGAGAATGGTACCTGAGGTCGCCGGAAAACTGGGTAAGATTCAAATGAGTATAACTTCTTCAATACTCAATGAAATTGGGTGAAACAAAAAGGAAAGTTGTAGTACTCAGCGAGACGAAGAGATTGATACCTTGCACGCCGGCCAACTCATCATGGTTTGGCCGGAAATTGCCTCGAAAGGGGCGGTGCTCGCCGAAAAACTGGGAAAATGTCTCCGAGGTGGTTTCTTCATGGTTTGACGTTCAAAACACACCACGGGGTCAGAACATAACTATAGGGATGAAAAGAAAAGCATTTGGTGTGTTTTGAGGCTTACCCAAAATGGAAGGACGAGGAACTCGTCCGAGTTCCTCTGTGCTCCACAGAGACAAAGAGAGGGAGAGAGTTGACATGGTGAAGATGGTGATGTTGTTGTCGTTGTGATGTTTGATGATAAGGGAGATGAGGGTTTGTTGGTGTGTGTGTGTGTGTGTGTGTGTGTGTTCTGCTCGGAGGGAGGGAGAGAAAGACAGAGAATGGATGAGGGAGAGACCGAGAGAGTAAGAAGAAATAAAAGAAAAGGGAAAGGGAATCGGGGGAAACAAAACAGGGGGTGGGCCCCTTGGGCTCACCAATTAAGACTAAAAAAAAACAATTTTAAAAAGGAAAGTATCCCCAAACTTAGTGAAAATACAAAAATACCCATTTTATTCCGTAAATTCCGGGACGGGTTGTTACACATTGTCTTTTAAGTGGCTCAGATTCACCCGTTAAATTTCATGGGATACATGGTGACTAGAATTTTTTACGACTACAATATGTTTTGAGTTCAGTTTTTCAATGTTTGCCTTGACAACAATCTTAGAAATTGATGGAGCATACTTTGGAACCACATTTCCTCACCTTTCCTTCTTGACCTACGGGCATCTCAAGCCGCAGAAGGCGATTCAGAACAATGTTCCAAGAATATACGGCTTGAAAGTCCGCAACAAACAATGAATCTTGCCCCTATTGGTGAAGAAAATATAAAGGGGTCCAAGCAAGCAGTGTTGTTGCCTTGTAAGAAAAGAAACCGAGGGGCAGTTCCCTTTAAGGCCCATTTCGTTGTACTTACTGAGTTTTGTTCATAGAAGTTTTTGTTTTACTTGCCCTTAGGTTGTGGATCAATGACTCTTGCAATTCTTTGTGTAAAAGTTCTTATTCTTTGGTTTTAACCGGACAGCCAAGGTCGCATTGTCCCAAACCAATCACTCGTTATCATGTTAAAAAGGTAAAATACATAACTGCACATGGTTGGTTTGGATACCATCACCGTGACGTCACAGTTGTGCAAGTTTCTCTCCATCAATCAAGGGTAGCAAGAAAGCTCAAATTTTTTTTTTTTTGGTAAAGAAGGCTCAAATTTTGCTGAAAGGAAGCTAGAGGCTAAAGATTTACCAGAAAGAGGTGAAAATAAAAATTTTACAGGAAACCAACAGAAAGTGATGTGGGGGTTGAACCCGGTCTATAAATATATGGTAATACTGGCTGATGACATTGCAGTACAGATACCTGGTGCCAGAATTTCTAGGGCTAATAGCTGTTACAAAAACTACAGATTAGCTTGGTATCACTTTCAATTCAGTTTCCGTAGACAAAGCGGTAATCAAAAGAATGCTTTCACAAGGATCACCATGCTTTAGCCAGTGTGTCATACGGCGGATGCTCTGAATGCTTTCAGTGATAGCGTCTGCTTCGGATTGCAACCTGCTAATTTCAGAACCTTTGGCTGCGTCCTCTGACATCAGCACCACGAGTTGATCCTGCAAGTCCTTAATCTGCTTAGCAACCCCACATATTATTTCATTATGTTTCTTTCTGTCTTGAGTTTGCTCCGCGATCTTGATTTGAACTTCCTTTGACTTATCCTGAACGTGCGCCAACTGAACTTTAATGTCTAGCAAAGAGTTCAGTCGATCTCGTACTGCCTTGACATCAAATCCAAACGTTTCCAAATCACCTAGTTCTTCAAAGATGCTATCAAAGAAGTCGCCAGGATCCTCAATGTTCAACTTGGAGGTCTTCTCTACCAAAGAGGCAAAGGTTAACATCTTTGCAACTGCTAATGATTCACGACTTAGCTCTCCACACTTAACTAAAGGGTAAAAATGTGGTTTTTGCGGATATCTTTTAAATGCATCCATAGATTCAACTTTCTCCCAAATTTCCGGATAAGATTTCACAAATGGCAAATCTGGATTGTCTTGTTGCTCAATGTTAACAGTGACACCAATTTCAACTTGTGTTCCTGTAACCTCATTTTGTGGGTTGGCAGTCTCGGCAGGGTTACCTACAACAAGTTTGACGTAAATCAAAATAACTAGAGTCAAAGGAAACTATTGAAAATGTTCACATTTGCTTACTTGAGCCCTCTGTAGGTTTTACAGCAGCCACCTTAAGTTCTCTTGTCGAGCAATCTACTGGAGAATCAACAGTTTCCGCCTGTCTCACTGCATCTTGAGAACTTGAAATTTTAGACAACACAAGATAAAAATAAATAGGATAAATAAGTACTACCAAATGAGGGCAAAAGGAAAACCATAAATAAGTACTGTTATTTTGCTCCGCATCCACCTCACCTGTGACAACGGTTTCAACTTGTCTTCCGTTAACCTCGTTTTGTTGGTTGGGAGTCCCCGCAGGGTTACCTAGAACACAATCTTGAAATTAGTCAAACTTGCTACACGCAAAGGAATCCATGGATTCAATTTTTTTTTCCATGAACCAAATGTGTATTGTCGTGTTGCTCCACCTCACATGTGACACCAGTTTCAACCTGTCTTCCATTATCCTCATTTTGTTGGTTGGCAGTCCCAGCAGGATTACCTAGGACACAAACTTGACGTTAGTCAAACTAACTACAGGCAAAGGAATACATTAAAGAAAGTAATGCTTGATTGTGTGGACAAATATCGTGTACATGACTGTTTATGAGGGCGATCGATATTTTTACGATGCAATTTCAGTGGTCTGCCCCTCCTATCATGTCCTAGTCTAGGTCATGGGATATCACCTTGAGATTTTTGTGGTTTGCCTTTTCTTTTAGAATGAGTTAATGCTTGATCATCCAGTCCTCCAACCTTCGCTTTCTCAATCTTCTGCAAGAGCAATGAACGCATTTTAATCAGGACCATTAGGAAACAATGCATATGAAAACAGTTGATCCCAATTATCCTTGAATGGACTAAAAGAAGGCAAGCCGCTTGGACTGCTTACTCAAGCAAAGAGGCCTCCGAGAATATGAACCTAACCTTAATCTCAAAACATTTCCATCAGGCATTATCATGCCATGCAAACCAAAGAGGCAACAGATGCCTAGTTTTTGTTGTTTTCCTTTTAAATATCATGCAGACATTTCCCCAGTAATGAGCACTAGTTAACCTTGCTCTTGGAATCACTTGAGTTGGTGAGTGTTGTCAGAATAGTTTAAGTAGTGCTGATAAAACTCACCGACTCAAGTACGATGACCGATACTGAGTGAACCAACACACTTCTCTGTGATTACAGGATTTCTTGAGTAAAATGCATAGAATATAGCAAGTTAATGAGGTTTAGAACGGGAAGACTCTGGAATCATGATTTTGTTTACCACAATGGAACACTCAGCAATAGGAGAATAAATAATTTAATACCAACAACATTTTTCTGAGAGTTCACTTGCCACGACATCAGTTACTGGGGATTCTTTGTTTTGAGTTTTAGCAGGCGTTCTGAAGCTTTTATTGTCGGCCTTAACATCCTTCACGACTTAAGTGCGGCCCACGTCCTCGTCCTTGGTAATTCAGAATTTCTGATTAACCAACTCAATGTCACTTTTCGTTGCATGAGTTCTACTTTGGCGCCCTATCCAATGGTTGCCACCTATTTGGCCGAGTCATTTGAGGGAATTACATTTGAACACATCTCGCGTGTTTGAAACACTGATGCGGACGAACTGGCACAAATAGCCTTCGGAGCACAACCCCTGGGGGGCAAACTAGGCAGGGTAATACAAGTAGTACAACGACCATACCCAACTCTGGTTAATCACCAAGTTCTCAAACACGATCGTGTGATCCCTACACCAGTCATGTCCCTACCTTAATTGTTGGAACGAGAGGTTTCTGTAGATGTCTGTGTTGTTAAGACATTACCAGACGATTGGAGAAGGCTGATTATGCGATGTCTCGATAACCCCAATGACAAACATGACCAGAGAACAAGGGTCCATGCCACAAACTACGTGTCATACTAGAATGAGTTGTATCAAAAAGGTGATGATGGTTTATTGTTAGTGTGCCTTGGCCTATAGGAGGTAGCCCAAGAAATTACATAAGTACATGATGGAATTTGCGGAGCTCATCAATCTGGACGTAAGATGCGTTTCCGCTACTTTGCCGACATGGCTATTTCTGGCTGAGTATATTGAAGGATTGTATCAAGTACGCAAGGGGATGTGTATAGTGTCAAATTCATGGGCCTATACAGAAAGTCCTAACCAAATTACTCCACTTTGTCACCAAACTATGGTCGTTCAGAAGACGGGCTATGGATGTAATCGATAAAATTACACCATCTTCTGGAGTAGCAAAACATGCATGGATATTTATGGCAACCAACTACTTCACTAAGTGGGTCGAAGCAAAATCATACGCTGAATTGACATCCAAGGAAGTTTGCAATTTTGTAGAAGTAAACATCGTGACCAGATTTGGCGTACCAAAAACGATTATAATTGACAACAGCACGATCTTTACAGTCGAAAGGTTCAAAGAATATACAACGAACTTGAAAATCCGACTTGAACAATCCACGCCATATTACCCACAAGCAAATGGATAGGCCGAAGCAAGTAATAAAGTTTTGATTGGCATTCTTGAAAAAATGATAAAAGAAAAGCCTGGTATGTGGCATTTGAAGTTGCGTGGTGGCTCGGTCCACCTTCAGCTTCTTTTTGACTTTCTCAACCAAAGGCTCATTTTCTTCGTCGATTTCTTTCTTTGGTGGATCAACCTTTGGGTTAGCTTTCTCGTCGTGATGCGCCTTTAGACGGTTGACGAGTGTAGCAATTTGCAGGTCTTTTTCTTCCACGGTCCTTGTCAGCCTTGCAATTACTTCACTCATTTGAGCCAACTGCTCTTTGATTAAAGTCACACCAGTAGTCATGACTTGCATGGTTACAAGACATAAGATGTTGCTTGAGTCGGCATCGAAAGTTAACGACTCGAAGTACCTCTTCGGGCTTTCTTCCTTTGGCGCTCTTAGTGAGGTCAGGGTGATCACGGGCTCATGGCTCGGGTGTTCTTGCTCATTCGGCAAAATGGAAGGAATAACAGAGATAACTCTTGCCTTGCTTTGGGTTGTGACGCCCAAAGTGCCACCACTTACGGCAAGTATGTTGTTTTTTGCGTTGGTTGCAGGAACAACTTGATCCTTTCTTGATGCCATATGTGTTTCTTGTGGATTTGAAGACAGAGATGAAAGGCAGAAAGATCCTACCGTGTGTGCCAAATATGTAAACATGAAAATTCTGTAACGAATGAAACGAGAACACATGTACAAAGTAGATTTGTATTGATGAATTTGTAGGGTTACAATCTTTGTTTACAATTTTCCTCTGATTCAGTCTTCAAAATTGATGTAGATGAGTAGGTTGTTGATCCAAGGGTTGCGGTGACTTGATCTCGGACGAAAGATTGAACGATTGCTTCAAGTTTTGAGCTTGAAACAATGCATAGATAGTCTTCACCTCTATGTTTGTGTATAACCTGCGGCACAGGTGATGTTAATGTGGGATTTTGTTGATTCAAGGGTCTTGGCGACTTGATCTTGAATCGAACGTCGTAACAAGTTTTAAGTTTACAACAAAGTCTTGAAGGAATCAGCACAAGTGCTTGTTGATTCTTCAAGGGAGTGTTTCGGCTTCGGTCAAAAGAAAGCTTTGACTTTGGTTGTATGTTCTTCGAAGAGAGCTTTGGCAGCGCATTAGTCTTCAAAGATAGCGTATTAGTTTTCAAAGATTTGGCAGAGGTTTTCCTTTTGTGAGAATTTCGGTCCTTCAATGTAGAAATTGTCAACCTTTATGCTTGTATGAGGACCTTGTATTTATAGACTTCTCAAAGCATGCCTTTGGATGGATTTGGCTTTGATTTGTGTCTTGATTCGTCCATGGGAGAATTTAGGCATGTTTTGTGTCTTAATTTCAGCCACTTTCCCTTGCTTGGCCGAAATATATTGGGCTTTCTTGCCTATTTTGAGAGCAATCTTCAATTCTTGCTTGTTTTGTGAAGATGCTTTAGCTTTCTTTCCGGTTTTGGGAGCAATTTGGGCCCCTTACCAATTTTAAGGAGATTTGTTCCCCTTTGCCGGATTTTAGGAATACTTTTGAGCTTCCTTTGTTTGATTTGTGCCACATGTAATTGATGACTTGTCCATTTCTGACAAGTCATATGCCACATGGAGCTTTCTGATGCATCATTTGTATGCAACGAAATTTACATGTCTACAAGCGGCTAGTGTTGGAAATGTGCCCTAAAACCAATCATATGATGATACTTTATGGACATTTCACCTGTTAAACTAATCTAGTTTAATATAAAGGGCAAAGATTATTGTTTAAAGCAGTCTCATATAAATGTTATATACTTAAACGATAAGTCCAAGGAATATGTAATTGGGAGAATGTGATCTAAAGAAGTTAGATTCATGAGATCATTCTCTTTCTTATACATATCTTAAAAGTTCCTAATCATAGGATTGCCAATTGGGTATTGACAGTCCGTTAAGATCAGTACGTGCTATGTTTTCTCTTAGGGAAAGTGACTGGTCTCGAGTCGTTAGTGTGGCTGACACCAAGACAAACATGTAGGTGCTCAATAGAGAATGAGTCCACTGAATGCGATTAACAAGGAGTTCTCATACTCATGTCACATGAGAACTCATGGTTGGGATAATGCAAAGTAGTCATTTGACATGAGGCATTATAGTTGTCTTGTGGTTAGGTCTGTGATCTTTAACTATGTTAAAGTCACTCCGTCCTAGGGTGTCCACAGCATAGTTGGGGTTAAGCCACTTAGCCATGGAGGTAAGTGAATGCACAACAAAAGATCTCTAACCTTCAAACCGTTTGAGGGAGAATACTGTATGATATGATTAAGAATCTGTCGCCAGAGTATGAAGGAGATTTAGGAAGTCGTTCCAAATCACATTCAAGGTAATCATATAAGTAAATGAATCACATTGGATAGTAGACATGAATAAACTATCAAACCAAACAATGTGGTCAAGAGTATTGTATTAAAGAAATACCGTATTGCATTGTAATCCTAAACTAAATAGGTTCCCCACCTCTTCTGATTAGCTTGGGTAGCCATGGCATACTGCTAGGTGTCACTCATGGTTTATGGAAGCCTTAAAGGTGAGTAATCACTAAAGGGAGAATTGAAAGTATGTTTCAATTCACAATCGATCATTAAGAGTAACAATCGCCCACTGCCTTGCTAAAAGGAACCTAATGGATCATACACCGTGTAAGGTAGAGATTGAAGAAACAACGGAGTTAAGTAAGAACAATTGAATGGTTTAATTGTTTACGGCTAGGATTAATTAATAAGTTAATTAATCAAACGAATAAGTTTGTTTTAGACATCGGGTTAGTTTTGGGCCTTAAGGCCCAATGGGCTTCAAATGTCATGCCCATTAACTTAAGTTGTATGACAACTTAATTTACTTGAGATTTAAAAGGGCCCAAACATCCCAATGCCTATGGTAGGCCGGCCATATGATGAAAAATATGGTTTTGTTCTTTTAGTCACTTAAGTGAAGTGACTATATAAAGAACTTTATAGCCAAATTCATGAGGGTTCTTTTTTGAGGAGATTGGAAAGAAAAGTCTCTCACTTTTCTCTCTAAGAGGCCGGCCTCTTTGGAGGGTGATTAGCTAGTAATCTCTCATCCTCCAAGTTCACTCATCTATTCTTCAAGTCACTCCTTTAGTGTGGAGACTTAGAGGTTCCCTATTTTGGGAACTTAGAGAATCCATTCTATCATCCTCATCCAAGAAATCCATGGAGCTAAGAAGTAAGGAATGAAGGCCCTATCTCTTGGGTGATTAGTCTTTTGCTTATGCAAAAAGAAATCCACAAAGGTATAATATTTCTCAACTCACTTTGTTCTTGAGTTGAGTCTTGGTTCGCCACAATTACTAGGCCTTGAATTTCATGGGTAAAGTTTTGTTTTTGAGTGTATACAAGCATGATTTCGCATTTTAATTGTTAATTGCATGTATAGATGTTGCTTAAATGAACTAGTTTTCACAAATATTTCCTTCAACTAGCCTTCATCAGATGCTCCGACCTCGCTGGACACTATCAACCCTTCAATCAACTCATGAAGAAAGACGCTATGTTTATATAGGATTACGCCTGTCGCAATGCCTTTGAGAGCATAAAAAGGTACCTGGCAAGCCCACCTGTCTTAGGAGCTCCCGTGCTTGAAAAGCCACTCATCCTATACATTGCCGCACAAGAGGGTTCCACTGGAGCACTTTTGGCATAAGAAAATGAAGACCAAAAGGAAAGAGCACTCTACTACCTAAATAGGGCTCTCACTGGTGTCGAGCTTAACTATTCACTAATCAAGAAGATGTGCCTTACCCTAGTCTTTGCCGTCCAAAAGCTAAGACACTACATGCATGCTTACACCATCCACTTGGTTGCTGAAGCCGACCTAGTCAAGTACGTTATGTCCAAACCCGTTATGACAAGACGACTAGCTAAATGGGTGTTGCTTCTCAATCAATACTAGATCATCTACGTCCCAGCTAAAGCCGTTAATGGACAAGCACTAGTCGACTTCTTTACCGATCATCCAATCCTAGCAGATTGGAAAATCTCAGATGACTTGCCTGATGAGGAGGTGTTCTACATCGACATCTTCCCGGCATGGACATTGTTCTTCAACGAATTCGCACAAACAGACAGAGCGGGGGCAGAAGTAGTATTCATGTCGCCACAAAGACAAGTACTACCTTATTCCTTCCGACTAAGCGAACTATGCTCCAACAACGTTGCTGAGTACCAATCGCTGATCATTGGACTCCAAATGATGATCGACAGGGAAATCACAACCCTAGAAGTGTATGGCGACTCCTAACTCATAATTAATCAACTCTTGACTTAATATGAAGTAAGGAAAGATGATCTCGTCCCATACTTTCGGTTAGCAACTCAACTGTTACAAAAGTTCAAGGTCGTGACGCTAAAACATGTGCCAAGAAAATAAAATAAAATAGCGGATGCTCTCACTAACCTAGCCTCAAGTATGGTGCTAGGAGAAGACAAAGTTGCGGATGTGCCAGTTTGCCAAAGATGGGTGATCCCGTTCATCACTAAAATGATACTGGATGATACAAACGTCATCTCAGTACTTCCAGTCGACACTGAAAAGTGGAGACAGCCACTAATCGGCTACTTAGAGCGTGGAAAGCTTCCAGACTATCCTAGACACTGCTCTGAAATGCGTCAACGAGCACCTCGCTTCCTCTACTACAAAGGAACACTCTACCGACGCTCTTTTGAAAGAGTACTTCTAAGATGCCTAGGTGAGGAAAAAGGCAATCAACCCATGGAAGAAGCACACTCAGGCGTATGCAGGGCACATCAGTTTGGACCAAAGCTACATTTCCAGCTCAAAAAAATGGGTTATTACTGACCAAACATGGTGAAGGATTGCCTGGAATACACCAAAATGTGCCAAGCCTGTCAATTCCACGCCAACTTCAAACATTAACCGCTTGAACCATTACACCCTACAGTTGCTTCATGGCCATTTGATGCATAGGGATTGGACGTCGTAGAACCAATCACACCAAAGTCATCTGCAGGAGAAGCCTACATCCTAGCCACAAGGGATTACGTTTCCAAGTGGGCTGAAGTTGTACCTCTAAGGGAAGTCAATAAGGAAACTGTCGTCCGTTTCATCAAAAAAACATATCATCCATCAATATGGTGTGCATTGCTACATCATCACCGACAACGGAAAACAGTTATCCAACCGACTCATGGACAAGCTCTGCGAGAAATACAAATTCAAGCAGCACAAATCTTCCATGTATCATGCTTCGGCCAACGATTTTACGGAAGCATTCAACAAAATGTTGTGCAACCTCCTGAAGAAGGTGATCAGCCGAACAAAGAGAGACTGGCACGAAAGAATAAGCGAAGCACTTTGGGAATATAGGACGACACATAGGATTACTACCCAAGCTACACCTTATTCTTTCGTATATGGCATGGAAGTTGTTCTGCCGCTCGAAAGTCAAATCCCCTCACTAAGGATAGCTATACAAGAAAGCTTGACTAAAAAGTAAAATGCAAAGTTGTGACTTCAAGAGTTGGAAGCACTCGATGAAAGAAGGCTCGAAGCTCAACAACACTTGGAATGCCACCAAGCACGACTATCCAAGGTATTCAACAAGAAGGTCTGCCCAAGGTCTTTCCAAACTGAAGATCTTGTCTTGGCATTACGAAGGCCCATCATCACAACTCACAAAACAAAAAGCAAGTTCACATCAAAGTGGGATAGACCTTATGTAATACAAGAGGTTTACACCAATGGCATGGCGCCTACTTAATCATGACGGAAGATGGCTTAAAGATCGGCTCCATCAACGACAGGTTCTTAAAGCACTATTACCCCTAAACCAAACATAAAGCTTCTTGCCTGCATGAGCCTAAACTGCACAACACAATGCTCCTTGTTCACATAATCTTAAAAGGAAACACTCAAATGCTCCTTGTTCCCATGAGCTTAAAAGGCGACACTCAATGCTCTTAGCCCACAAGAGCATAAATTGTGTACGATGAAAATCAAAATCAAAAAATCAAAATCACCATCAAAACCGTCAAAACCATAAAAAATAATACATCAGTCTCCTTGCCACAAAGAAACATACCCTGAGCGAAGACTTGTAAGATAAGGCCCCAACTTGTCTAAAGTCAACGAATCAAAACAAGTGCCAAAGTACTCACCCAACCAACCATACACATAGTGGTAGAGAAGTACTGCAACACAATCTTCGGTGCTCGCCGAGTTAGAAACAACACTCAAGCCTTCATAAATATTGGCTAAGACCGGAATAGCATGGCTAAAAGATTCATTTGCATACATCTTGCTAGCTACTTTAAAGACTCCAGGACGGATAAAGTTGACGTCATCTTTGGGGAAAACAAACCTACAAAGCCAACAAGCTAAGAAAGTGGCTAGGTAAGATTCTTCTACATGCTCTGACACTACACCAAGTTCGTCAAACATTTTCAACTTGCCAGGAGCACGGTGCTTAGCTGAACCAATGGCACCTGACAGATCTAAGTCTCCATTTGGCTTGGTTGTCTTGTTGCGGCCATTTTTCTTCGAAGGTTTCTTGTACTTCATGGTATCCCAATACCAAAATCGGATCCATGAAGAAATCTTCACGCCCGACTTACCTTGAGCCTCCTATGAAAGTTTGTAATACACTTAAAACAAATAGTGGCAACTCGTAGGCAATCCTTGGCTATTACGATGAGAAAATTCCTCCACACTAAGAACAACCTCGTCGTAAAACTTACCCTAGATCGGCAAGCCTCCTATCTTGTGGAGATCCTAAAGTGAAATTGACATCTCTTCTTGTGACGTATGAAGTGTGTTGGTCTCTGAACACCAACAAATATGCGATCATAACAAAACAAAGATGCGATCATAACTAAACAAAGATGTAATCATAACTAAATAAAGTTGCGTACACGGCGTGATAAAGGCCCATGTTGGTAAACACATCTTTAGATCGGCTCAAGACATCTTCAAGCCACTCCCAATAAAACTCAGCAAAAACAGCCTCTCCAGTAGTAGACAAGATGCTATTCCAAGTCATAGCTTCGCTATGGATTCGATCACAAGAAGCTTAAACGAAGCTGGTGAATTGTCACGAACATGGTGAGAAAGATCTCGACGTACACGCCTTCTTCTTCCTATTTGGTCAACCAAAATCTATCACCTCCCAAGATACTTCAGAAGACCACAACTTGATATGCATCGAGTTATTTTTTGCAGGAAGAACAAGCGCCTTAGGGCTAGTCAACAGTGCACAAAGCCTCAATGGCCCTTAAAAAAATGTTTCTTTCAAAAAATACGCCTTAACGGCCCTAGACAAAATTCATCATCTCAATTCAAGAAATACGCCTCTACAACCCTTGAAAAAGCAAACTAATTCAAGATCAAGTTTCAACAACCCTTGAGTTAGAACATTCACATTGCAAGACTTCAAAACACGTTTCTTACATGTGACAAGCACATGCCTACAATGCACCTTGAATCAACAAAATCCCACATCAACATCACCTTTGCCGCAAGTCATACACAAACCTAGAGGTGAAGACTATCCACACATTGTTTCAAGCTCAAAACTTGAAGCAATCGTTCAATCATTCATCCGAGATCAAGTCATCGCGACCCTTGGATCAACAACCTACACATCTAGAAAATACAATGCTCTAAGCACAAAACACATAATTGATATTCACATTAATCAGCTATGCTAGAATCACTAACCAAGAAAGACCTGATAGTAAACAGTTTTAGTTATGTACAAAGTTTGCATCTGCTGTAAGTCTGCAAGTTCTTTTGCCGGGACTGCAGTGAAGGGAAGGGAAAAAGAATTAGACTCTAACATAAAGTATTTTATAAATATCATACATTGTCATGAATAACATGTATTTTGAAATTATAGATACAATTTATACATAAATAGAGTAGACAACGGGAACTACTAAAGCATCAATATAAAAAACAAAAAGCTTTTGTGGACATAAGGCCTATGATAAACGTCAAGTAATTGACATTAAGTCAAAAAGGTATCTGCGAAAGTGTAATTAACCCAACCTAGTTTAATTCATGAACTCAACTCGATTATCCCATCATATTCTTAATAACTATCCAAACCATGAATGAGATATTGTTGGATCATCATCCAAGAACTGATTCAGATGATTCCCATCATCAAATAGATTTTCCCTGGTGCAATATAAAAGCATTGTTGAGAACCAGTGGAAGAAAATATATATGTTAACAACAGAACCATATATGCGAGGCAGGTTGGTTTGACATGAAAACAAAAAGTGAAATTGTCCGCTTAAAAGTCATGCATTATTGTTTAAGAAATATGTCAGGGCGTCCATTCTTCTAAGATAACGACAACTCATGGCCAGCTGAGACCTCATTTTCAAAGATCTCCTCTTGTAAATCAAATGTAATTTTTCTTGAAGGTAAATCTTTGGTAATAACCCATAACCCAGAACAATGTTTAAAAGCCAATTTATACACTGAAAGCTACATAACTTTACGGGTGCGTTTATTGCACTGGACTATCTTGGACTGGACTAGCTTCAAGGACTAAGCTGGACCGCCTTAGATTAGATTAAGCTGGATTAACTTAGTGAAGCGTTTGGTGCAATGTCAGACTAGGAGCAAAATAATGACAAAAAAAAAAAAAAAAAAAAAAACCATGATCTGTAACAAAATATTCTCATCTAATGAAAGTGAACCCCAACATGAAAGTTTCTGCAGAATTATCCCAGAAAAAAGCAGAACTAAATGAAATAATTCAATTTGCTATCCCAGAAAAAGCAGAACTACTAAAATCATTCAATTTGCTCAACCACTCCAAATTGCTCAAAAGCTCTAATATACCAGAAAAATCAAATCCTTCAATTTGGTATTTCACAAACAACTCACAAATCCAACCCAATTCACATAATCATTTTCCTGATACATGAGAGTTCATCTCCATCATAAGTCCTTTGTTTATTTTCTGCTAAAGTAGTTAGTTGAAGATTTGTAGTCGAATAGCTCTTCAATAACAACAACAAATTCCTTCTCGACCTTTCATCAAATACTTTGAAATCCTCCGCAGTTGTAATCCTTCGAGACAAAACACAGAGTGCCCAACCCATAATCGTTTATCTTGTTCAAAATTCAGAAACCCAATTAGGGATTCCACTCGGAAGGAAAGCCAAATCCCAGAAAAAACTAATTGAAACCTAGAAAAATCCAATCCCAGAAAAATCGATTTAAAAACCCAGAAAAATCAATTCGAAAACCCAGAAAAAGGGAAAATACTTGCAAATCAAGTCTTGCAAACTTGGAGATCTTCTGGACAGATGAGAGAAAGGTGGAGAGAGAGACAGTGGGAGGGCAAGTTCTCAGGCTTGGGGCAAGGCGAAGCAAGGGAAGAGGGGAAACGGGACTAGCAATCCCCTCCTTTCCGGGGGCTCTCGCTAAGCCTAGCTAATGAAGGATTTAGTCGGCACAAGTCCGGCTTATTCCCATTAAACTCAATCCCAGCTTGCACCAAACACAGAATAATAATCCTACCCAAATAGTCCAGTCCAATGAAACTTAAGGTAGCCAAACAAACACACCCTACGTCTCTTCTAGAAAGTAACTTTTTGTTCTAATCCATAACCTAGAACAATGTTCAAAACCCCAATCTGAAATTTTATCTGGATACTAACTTCTATAATTTCCAATTCACAAAATTCCAGTAAGGGTATGCCAAAACACAAAATCAAAAATTCAATTTCTTTGTGTACAGGACAACATAAAGATTGAGACTTTTTTTTTTTTTTAATTTCTACAACTCTACACACTTTCAAGCCCTACATTTTTCCGGAAACAAACAGAAAGTGAAAGAAGTCGTACCTGGTTCGAAAGAGCGGACGCTATTGGCGAGTTTGGTGGAACAGTGATGGCAGAGATCTCTGGTGAGAAGGCCAATAAGATGGACCAAACCATTGAACAAAAAAACCCATATTTTTAAAATTAAAATCACAAAAATTTGAACAAAAAAAAAGAGATTCCAAAAACGAAACCGAAACAAATATGTTCGAGAACTCACCAGGAAACCCAAGCTTTCTGGGTTTAAAATTTCTTCAAATCAGAACGAAGGCAAGCTTTCCAGTTTTCCTAGGTATGGTGGAGTGGAATTGGACTTGGATGAGGCGAATTCAAGGAATTTTAGTTTTGTTGTGAGGTTCACATGAACAACCCCTTGAGGAATTTCTTCGAATCGGAATGGATAGACAGCATATGTTCTAGTTCGTGCAAAATAGGGCGAGAGAATTGGAGTTCGTGTAGCAAATGGAGGACTACCGGAAGCAAATGAAAAGCCTAGCTTTGTGAGAGAAAGAAGTGGAAACGGAAGGAAAATTTGAGATGTAGGGGAAACGGAGCAGTCGACGATGATCGACGCGTGGGCAGCGTAGACAAATAAGTAAATCCATTGTGCCAAGGAGGAAAAACAATGGAGAACAAAGAAGAAAATCCATTTCACTGTTCTTTAACAGTGCAAAACAATACCGAAAAACTGGGTTTTAGTATATGTATAATTTGTTCTGTTCATGATAAATTTACATATAAATTGCATTGCCATTCGTAATTCTCTGTTTTTTCATTCAAACATTGTTTATGAAAATTGAAGCTATAAAATATTTCATATAATTTTCAATCCTGCAGCAACGTGTGGGTACAAATTTCTAGTGTATAACTTAGACTCTTTTAAGTTTTAGACTCGGTCCATTTCATGTAATTTTACACTAATCATCTCATGTGTGTGGATTTCTTTTTATGCATCCATTTAATGCAGTAGCTAATGAGATCAAAGCTTCCTTCTCTTTCTTCGAGATTGCTTTTTTGCTCATATGTATCATATTAGCTGCTCACTTTTTGTTCCGTTGCAGTGTTTCCTATTTCCAACAGCGATCACTTCTATATCACGTGGTGGTTTATTCACATCGTGGATAGCTTGTTCACTCCAATATGTGCTCAACTTGGAATCAACATTTTTGGTATGAAGTATTCTGAAATGCATTCCTTAACCATTAATTGATCGGTACATTCTAACTTACATTAGTTATTGGTCTTGGGGTATGACGTTACTGAGCTAAGTATCTAGTCCATTTTCTCTCTTCATCTAATCTTAGAGACACAAATTTTGGTGCGATAATCCGAATTCAGTAAAGACAGTTTCTATCCTTAGAGAAAGGAAATCCTCGGCCTTAGACAGTGGTTTATCAAAAGAATGCCGTTTGTTCGTCATATCTACAATGCCTGCAAGCAGATTAGTTCTGCCATATCCCTAGGTGAGCTTTATAGAAATTCCCCTTGGTTGGACTGAATGAATTATTTTGCAGAGCTATTTTGGAGATGAAGAGTTGTGCTATGTTTATGTTCCCACGAATCATCTTTACATTGGCGATGTGATCCTGGTCAACACCAAGGATGTTATCAGCCCAAATTTGTCCGTACGGGAGGGAATTGGTGAGTGAGCTTATGTATTCTACTTCAACTAGAAATAGAACGACAGGGATGAATAGAATTGAGCCCTTAGCTTGAATCTACCTACCACGTCCCAAACGTGAAGGAAAATAGTTGCTTTTATCTCCATGAAGTTGTATTTATCATCGATGCAGTATCTCATCTGCGTTTAAGTATGGTTACTAGTAACTTGATTATATAATGTCCAGTGTTGACTATGAAGTATGGTCATGCCGGTAAAATGAGAATATGCATTTGACGAGAAAGCATTGGATGCATTTGTAGGGCAAAGTATTTCTGTGAATTTGAGTGGTATTTCTCGAATCATCAAATGCGTGTCTTATATCAGTTTATTGTAATGTTAAAATGTTTCTAGGTGCAATATATCTTCAAAATTCAAAACAATTATTTAATGAAAAATCATAAGAATCTGAAAGAAGTATGAAATACTGACTTACTGATGATGAAGGTGGCGGTGATTTGTAGTCCAATAGTCTAGAAACTCAGATATGTGATGGTGAGCCTGATGATGAGCCTGATCCTGATGATGAGTTTGATGATAAACTAGCATAATCATGATGAACGTGCCTTTCCAATGCAAGGAAACCATAGGCACGCAGAAATTTCAAATTTGTTGGAAAATTAAGGATTGTATGAAGATTCTTGCATCCACTTAAATTCAATGTTTCAAGCTTTGAAATACCACCGAAGCTCGGTAGGGTATGAAGAGATGTGCATCCACTTACATTCAATGTTTCAAGCTTTGAAAGACCACGGAGTCTCGGTAGGGCACAAAGACATATGCATCCACGTAAATTCAATGTTTCAAGATTTGAAAGACCACTGAGGCTAGGTAGGATATGAAAATCATTCATTTGAAGATCCAAAACTTGTAAAGAAATTAGACGTCCAAGATCATCACCAGCTAGTCCGCAAGATGAGAGATCTAGTTCTTTTAAAGAGTTTAAGCCGTGCAACGAACTAGGCAAATGAATATTTTCAAAACGTTTTGCGAATAAACGAGTGAGAATATTCAATCCTGCTCTAGAAGGTAGTACTTGACTTAGAGATAAAAGAGTGAGATTCTTTAGTCTTACTATAGAAGGTGGTACTTGTCTTGTGGCTGTGAAATCTACGTCAAGTATTCTCAATGATACCATTTCCCCTAAATCCTCATCCAATTCTCTGAATTCTAAACAGTCAACAAGAAAAAGAGTCTCAACAGATTTCGACTTATAGAAATTCCTTGGAAGAGAAATAAGCTTGAAACAACGTGTAAGGTTCACCAAAGAAAGTTTTTTAAGATGATCAATGGAGGGGTGAATCTCCGACAAACTCTGACAATCTTGCAACATCAACTCTTCAAGATTTGAGACTTGTGAAAAGTCCAGTGATTTTTTTTAAGTTATAAGAATAACTGAGATTAATGGTTTTCAGCGTTAAAGCGATTGTTGCACAAAATCAAAGGAAAATTGAAATCAATATCCAAAGGGAAGATCGCATAAAATAAAAAAAATAAAAAAAAAGAGAAGGAATCAAAAAACAAATTGAAATAAAGCATTATCATGTGTAATTGATTGTACCTTGTAACCCTCCCAAACTTGTACCAGTTTGCTTGACTGCATGTCTAAAACAACTAATCTTGGTTGATTAGGAAAGTCATCTGGTATGGACTGCAAAAGGAATCCATGCCAGCACAACCATATTAACTCTTTGGTAAGATGATTGTATTCTCCATTGAGCTCCACGTTGTTGAGGTGAAGCAATCTCAGTTTCTTCATATTGGCAAATATTTCTGTACTGAAACTAAACTTTTCAAAGCTTCGCAAATCTAGAACAAGCCCTTCAACTTCTTCAGTTCCCTGTTAACAAAAGGTTATATTCATGTGTAAGAAAGGGATTATTTGCATATGTTTACATGTATTGTTATTCATTAGGCTAAATCACGTATGGTGAATATATGCAAGTAATATTGTTTGCTAATTGAGCTTCCCTGTGCAACCGCATATATTTACACATGAATGTTGTTTAAAGTATAATAGATATATGCTTTTCTTGTACAATGCATTAATCCAAAATTTAATTGGGAATGTACTTACAGATTTATATGTCAACACATCGGTGACCTCTCGAGGATTCCACAACCTATTACTTTTTCCAGGGTGACTAGAGAATTTTTCAGAAATGATTACTCTAGCCATTTCTCGAAGCAAATCATGCATATCCAACCAGTTGCCTTCAACAGTTACAAGGTATCGTTCACGAAGGACATTGATTCCTATTGTTGCAAAAAATCCACATCCATCTAGTACTTTTGCAACATAGTCCTTGTTCCATCCAATAAAGAAACAAGATATGTCAAGAAATATAACCTTCTGTGTATCATCTAGCCTTTCAAAGCTTATTCTTAGTGTTTTTATTATTTTTCCACCAGGAGTTCTTTTCAATTTCTCCAGTTGACTTTTCCACTCTACAATGCTCCTTTTAATAAAAGAACCTAAAACTTCAAGGGCTAGTGGCAAACCTCCACAGTAAGAAACAAACTTTTTTGAGAGTTCAAGATATTCTTTGTTAGGCCAACTATTTCGAAAGGCATGCCAACTAAAGAGCTCCAAAGCTTCTCCTTCATTCATTTCTTGAAGTTTGTATGTCTTGTCCACTTCCACATGCTTTAGTAAATGTTCATCTCGTGTCGTTATAATAATTCTACTTCCTCGACCAAATCAATCATGATTTCCAGCTATTGCATCCAATTGTTCCCTTTGATCTATGTTGTCCATAACGACAAGTACCTTTCGATATGAAAGTTGATCTTTTATTCGACCGATACCTTCATCATCATTGCTTATTTTAGACTTTAGATTCAAGATGTCAGAAATAAGTTTTTTTTGTAGATAAGCCAAACCATGTTTACTTGTATTGTCGCTAACGTCAGCAAGGAAACTTTTGAACCTAAACTTATGATGAATTTGGTTTAAAATGGCTTTGGCAGCTGTAGTTTTACCCAATCCACCCATCCCCCAAATTCCAACCATGAGAACATCATCTGACCCACCACTTGAAAGATAAGCGATAATATCTCGAACGCGACAATCGATTCCAACTTAATGTTTGGCCACATGTAATTTGTTTGTGCTAGGCAGCCATTCCAAAATATTGTCATCAATAATTCTCTTAATAAGCTTGGCTTCATGCCTAAAAACATAATACTTAAGAAAATACAAATGGAAGTGCAGACTTGCAGTGACTTATACCGGTAACACCTATTATTAAATGGGTTATTATGCCATTAACCTACACAATCTAGACAATAAAAGCTAATTATTTTCTTTGCATGTTTTTAAATATTGTATTGCGTGTTCAATAACTCTATCTGCAAGACTATGTACATTAATCTATGCATTTTGAGCTTCTCATAATTTACCTAGATTTACACTAATTTACCTATATATTATATAGATTGCATATTCACTAATTTACCTTTTTTAGTTGGTGGCATTGTGGGCTTTTTGTATTGTACAATTTGTTTTTTGAGTAATTTACCTATATATCATATTCACCTAGATTGTACAAGCAAGTTATTACCTATATCATCATATACAACAATTTATCTGGCACTAATATGTA